AGTTTGTGGAAGAAGGAAAACCAGTTGTAATGGGAGGACACCTGCGATCCGGTTGAGCGAGTGGTACATGAGACGGAGAAGCCACTTAGCTCCTAGCAGGCTGCTAACAGAATTGCAATGGTAATTTTTAAACTCAGCTGCAGCAGTAGCCTTAGGTGGTCTTGGTTGCTCCAGTGTATGGTTATGTTAAATGCAACCTTGATGTCAGGCTGTGCTTGCAAAATCATGAGGACGAGTGTTGGCAGCTGAAACAAATAGGAAACCTCGGAAAATGAAAGCCATGGAAGGGGAAACTTGGGGTCTCTTTCAAGCAATTCAATGAATTATTTCTCTGGGCTATGCACTTGCAACTTTTTACATGGATTGCAAGACACTAGTTCATGATGTGCTCAACACTAAATCTATTCGCACAGAATACATATAGTAGTGCTTACAATTGTACAACAACTATCAAATTGTTTTTACTAGGTGATCAACAAATAGTAGTGCTTACTCTTTAGTTAGAGCATCTATTTCTTATGCTCCTTGCAATAATTTTCAATACATATGTGATTGTATTTCTTCTACTATCATGAATGCTTTGAGATTGTTTTAGTAAAAAAAAATTCATTTCAAATTTATTCATTACAGACGTGAAACAGAACTCATTGAAGAAATTGTTGCCGAAGTATGGAAAAGGTTACAACCTAAATTGCCACAGCATGAAGATGAATTGGTTGGAATTGATTCGAGGATAAACACCGTGTGTTCACTTTTAAGGACAGAGTCTCAGGAAATTCGCTTTGCGGGGATATGGGGCATGGGTGGCATAGGAAAGACAACTCTAGCCAAATTTGTTTATAAGAAAATCCATAACCAATTTGATTTTAGTTGCTTTCTTGAGAATGTTAGAGAGGTTTCTAGTGAAAGAGATGGTCTGCTTTGCTTACAAAGAAAATTGCTTTCAAATCTAAAAATAAGCAGCTTGAGAATTGAAAGTTTGGACCAAGGAAAGGAGACAATACGGAATCTTTTATTCAACAAAAAAGTTCTCCTTGTCCTTGATGACCTAAGTTCTGATATCCAACTAGAGTATTTAGCTGGAAAGCAAGAATGGTTTGGTCCTAGGAGCAGGGTACTAATAACAACTAGAGACAAGCATCTCCTAGTATCACTAGGCGTGTGCGAAACTTATGATGCTCAAATCTTAAACAGTGATGAATCCCTTCAACTTTTTTGTCAGAAAGCTTTTAGAAGAGGAAAACCTGAAGAAGCTTTCATAGAGTTGTCAAAACGGGTGGTTCAATGTGCTGGAGGTATTCCCTTGGCACTCAAAGTGTTGGGTTCATTCCTCTGTGGACGAAAGGCATCTGTATGGGACGATGCTTTGAAAATGTTGCAGCAGGATCTGCAAAATGATGTTTACAAGACATTAAGGATAAGTTACGATGGTTTGCGGGATACAGAAAAGGCGATATTCTTAGATATTGCTTGTTTTTTCAAAGGGAGCCTCAAGGATCATGTAACACAAATATTGAAAAATTGTGGTCATAATCCATTGATTGGTATAGATGTTCTTATTGAAAAATCATTGATAACTGATGATGGGTGGCATTTGGGGATGCACGATTTGCTTCAAGAAATGGGTAGAAATATTGTTCTACATGAATCTCTTAATGATGCCAGCAAGCGGAGTAGGTTGTGGTCTGTCAAGGACATTGATCAAGTATTGAGAAGTAATAAGGTAAGCTTTTTAATAAATTTGTACTGAATTTATAACTTACTCTCATTGTTACTTATGTTGTTTTTATTGTCATATGTTAAAGGGAACTGAATCCACTCAAGCTGTAGTTCTAAATCTGCCTGAAGCATTCGAAGCAAGTTGGAACCCTGAAGCTTTTGCAAAGATGAGTAATCTTAGGTTGCTCATGATACTAAATAAATTGCAACTCCCACTTGGTCTCAAATGTCTTCCCAGTGAGTTAAAAGTGCTTGTGTGGAGGGAATATCCTCTCGAATCATTGCCAGTTGGAGACCAATCGGATGAACTTGTTGACCTTGATATGTGTCAAAGCAAAATAAAGCACCTTTGGAGAGGAATGAAGGTAACATTCTTACATTTAATCTCAAGATCCGATTAAATTTTAAGCGATAACATGTACACATGTGTGTATACATCTATAGCAGTAATGATTCCCCAACCCCAAGCCTTATATAAGGACTGCTTTAGTCATATATGTAGTCAATGCGAGATCTTCCCACAGGAAAACGTAGATAATGTATTTATTTATATATTTTCAGCTTCTGGAAAATTTGAAGACCATCAATTTGAGAAATTCCAAATATCTACATCAAACACCAGATTTCACTGGAATTCCAAATCTTGAAAAATTGGATCTTGAAGGCTGCATAAACCTGGTTGAGGTTCATGCTTCTCTTGGACTTCTTAAAAAGCTTTCATATGTGACATTAGAAGATTGCAAAAATCTTAAAAGCCTTCCGGGAAAATTGGAAATGAATTATTTGCAGCGTCTCATTTTATCAGGCTGCACAGCAGTTAGGAAGCTTCCTGATTTCGGGGAAAGTATGACAAATCTATCCACACTTGCTTTGGATGAGATTTCCATAGCTGAACTGCCTCCAACTATTGGTTACTTGACAGGTCTTCATAGCCTGGTTTTACGGGATTGTAAAAATATTGTTTACCTTCCAAATACCTTTTCTAATTTGAAATCTCTCAAAAGGCTCAACCTATCTGGTTGCTCAAAATTTTCCAAGCTTCCTGATAATTTGCATGAAAATGAGGCTTTGGAGTGTCTTAATGTGAGTGACACTGCTATAAGAGACATTCCTTCATCCATTGTTCATTTGAAAAATCTTTTAGTACTTTTATTTCATGGATGCAAAGGAATAGCATGGAACTCAGAGAGCTCACGCCTCCCTTTTGGCAAGATTTTCAGGTTTGGTACTCATACAATTCCCAAGAAATTGATCTTGCCTTCTTTTTCTGGTTTATCCTCATTGAAGAAACTGGATTTAAGTTATTGCAATCTCTATGATGAATCAATTCCTGATGATCTTGGATGTTTATCATCATTGGTAACATTAGATTTAAGTGGGAACAATTTTGTGAACCTTCGTGATGGCTGCATATCTAAACTTTCAAAGCTAGAAAGACTTGTGCTGAAGAGTTGCCAAAACCTGCAATCATTGCCTGAGCTACCACCAAATGTACATTTTGTAAATGCAAGTGATTGTGGTTCAATGAAACCCTTATCAAATCCACGAGAGATATGGGGTCACTTGGCATCATTTGCCTTTGACAAGGTACACGACACTATAATCATGCATCTCTTTCTTTTATAACACAGTTTGTAGTTAACTTTTTAACGTTCTGATTTCCCTGTCACAGTTGCAAGATGAAAATCCGATTAAAACTTTATTGGTAAGTCCGGGAAACGAAATTTCATCAACTTTTTTCTATCAAAATTATTTTGATCGGGACATACAGTATTTAAAAGATAACTACATATGGGCTGATTCTACTGCGTCAATATCGATGGACATAGCTCAACTTCGTCAACGGTATGATAGAAGTGAATGGTGGGGAATGTTAGTCTGTCTTGTCGTAGAAGATGTGGCATCTTCTACACCTTCCCAGGACTATCGTGTCGGTTGGATTTCAAAAGTTCCCGCTACAAATAATATTTTGGGCCGGCTATGTCAAAAGTTGTTAGAGCATGGTTTCATTTCTGGAGTACCAAATTCCAAGCATCCTCACCTATTGGTTTTGTATATTCCTGTTCCTTTATCCCGTTGGTCTTATGTTCAAGACAAGTTTCAGTTAATATTTTTCAGCTCTAGTCTCGAGAGTAAGTTGGTTATAAAGAAATGCGGGTACCGCATATTATGTAAGGAAGATGCACAACTCATGCGCAAAAAATTGCCTGAATGCAGCACTTCTTCTGCCAACCAATGTGCCTCACGAGGCAATTGCTTATCTTCCTCTCCTTTAACATCTTGGAGATGGATAAGCCGTCTCAAGGTTCCCCAATGTTTCAAGACTTTCCTGTTGGCAGTCCTATGTGAACGCTTGCCTACTATTGCGAAGTGCAGGTTTTGTAGCATGGAAGGGACCACCACTATTCATGTCTTAAGAGACTGTAGGCGAGCTTGTGCAATTTGGGTTCAAATGGTTCCTCCTGAAGTTCATGATGAGTTTTTTTCAATTTCTCTTCATGATTGGATGCATAGGTTCCTTCGGAAGTCCTGGTTGCCAAATAACTGTGAAGACTATGATGCTGACTGCTTGAGGTTTTCTGTCACCACTTTTCTGCTCTGGAAGGATGGAAATAATTCCATCCACAAGGGAGATTCTCTAACAGATAATGGTTTGTATTCTATGATCAAGTCTCTAGTACAAGAACACACCTCACCTACCAGGCATTTTGTTAAGTTGAATGTGGACGGTTGTTGCATGGAAAATCCTAGAAATGCTGGTTATGGGGGTCTCTTTCGTGATGTGGAGGGGAATTGGCTTGGTGGGTTCTATGGCTCTCTGGGCTTTACAACTAATATGAAAGCTGAGCTTTATGCCATTTGTCAAGGTTTGATCACAGCTTGGGATTTGGGTTACAAAAATATGTTAGTTGAAACTGATTCTTTGGAAGCTATCAATCAGATTGAAAAGGCCAATATTGAGCATGATGCTTATGGTAGCTTGGTGGCTGACATACGCTCCCTCATGCAAAGAAATTGGTCCCTTAACTTGGTCCATTCTGTCAGGGAAGATAATGCTTGTGCAGATATTTTATCGAGACTTGGAACTGAGCAGCATGAGGTCTATTGTTTCCATGCTTATCCACCACAACAGCTTCAGCGGGCATTGATGGCTGATGCCCTCCGTGTTCAACTTCCTTCCATGTAGTTCTTTGTTATTTCATTTTCCTTTTCTTCTTGCTTGACAAAAAATGTTTCAAGGATGATGATATTTTATTTGGGGAAAACAAAGGTTCCGATTGATGACTACTGGTAAACTCAAGGGAGACTTAAGGGAAAAGATGCAACTCGGTCTGATGCAGAAACATGAATACAAACTATCTGTCTCAGTGCAGGCTCAACCTTTCCAACATGCAGAATCATCAAGTAACAACTTCGATAGTGGCTGCCATAATGTGATGTTATTGAAGGATGTTTTTCTGATGCAAAGTAGGGCGAGGTATCATTTGTCAAGCACCAAGTTTCAGCGTGTAGTAAATTATAATGCAGAAGAGAGCGACTGACAGTCTTCTCCTGAAAGTCTATAATGTGCTAAGATTCTATCCGAAAAGAAGAAGAAATTCCTAGATAGTCAAGGGTTTGGGAGGGCTATCTCTATGTCTGGATATATATTTGAGCTTCTAAAAACATTGAATTGAAAGAATACCATGACAGAATATAATAACATTCGATATAATATTTCAATCACATTTGATTTATTTTTAAGAGTATTTTATAACTTTCTTAATTCAAAAAAGAAAAATAAGTCCTTCCCTTAAAAAAATTTCTTCCAAACATACCTCGATCAGATGAGGGATGGTAAAGTAATTGGTGTAATTTTTGTCTCTAGTATATTTTTAACAGATGCCTCATCACCATATTACACTATCATGGGACGACCTTCCCTTAATCTATTAGGGGCGGTCTTGTCCACCCTACATTTGAGCATGAAGTACCCATTGTTCCACTGAGAGTTGGAGTGGTTCGGGGAGACCAATAGATTTCCCAGAATGTTACCAGAACAATATGAAAATGAGAAGGGAGCAGATTTCTTTAGGAGTAAGAGAATCAAAGGAAACAATGTATTTATGAGGCTCCTGCTTAAAGTGAACTAGACCCAACACCTATGAATCAAATATGTACATTTACTTTGAGGTAAATCCTAGAAGCCGAGAGGAAGAGGTAACTCATCAGAGACATGACAGAAGGTAGAGAGAGCCTCCAAGGCGTGAGGTTTGACTAACACGAAATGATCCAGAAAATCGTTACAATTCTCTGCAAAAGTACTAAATCATGGAATGTCCTAGCGCCGTGAGATGAACCCCTCATCATGGGTGTTATTTAGCGAAGTACGAACCACGACAAAAAGGTGGAAAAATAATTGGAATAGGGCTTCCAAAGTTAACACATTTTTAAAGCCTAATCACTTGGGCAAAGCTGCGAGGGAGCAATCTTTAAACACCTTAACAACTTCTCTTTGAATCCAGTCAAGGGCACCCGCAAAAATAATCGAGTACACAGGCACTCTTTGAATCTCCACATCTGATGAAGTCAAAATAGGAAGAGGTGAATCCCCGACTACCACGAAGGGAGCGGGCGCTGAATTGACTACATGATCACTCATAGCATTATCATCATAAAGACAAGTGTCAAAAGGAGATCCATCAGGAGAAATTTCTCTATCAAGAGAACTCCTAGAAAACTCCCATACACATAACAATCAAGCATATTTATTATACATGAGCAACTGAAAGGTTGGAATCTGAGCTAGCGGAGGTTTTTGTTCTAACAAAGAGGGAGGAACCACTACTCTCAGAATCACTAGACAGACTTACAGGGTGATCTTTGTATATACAGAAGATAAAGATTGAAAATGAGGAAATGAGTTTAAGATAAAAATGGTACTTGTAGAATATGAGAGCAAGCGAATAAAGTAGAGGTTAAATGCAAAACAAAAAAACATTTCATTCTAAAGAGAAAACGCTCAGGCAAAGGCTTTTGAAAAGGAGAGAAATCGCTCTCACAAAAATGGAAGTTAATTTTCAAGAGTGACGAAAAATTTGTTGAAAGTATAATTGCTTGTGTTGAAGCAGGTTATTGCTCGAACACAAGGTGTGTCGAAGTGTTGTAAGTAGATTGCTACACACATGTTTGATTTAGATCCAAAATAGATATTTTGGATTTTTATAGTTTAGGGCTTTTTAGCTTAGGGAGCAAGCTAGCTCATTATAAATAGAGGGAGTAACTCCTATTTTGTAACACATTGAATATTCACAGAATTTACAGTTGCAAGTGAATAAGAAAGTTTTTCACAGTTTATGGACAGAGAGAAACTCCGCATAAACCCTAAATCTCTTTTCTTTAACTTTTCTTTTCTTTTCATTATCATTGTGTGATGGTAACTGTTGTACCCCAAAATTTTCCCCCTCATTTATCAAAACTTTTCTCACAAGACCTCTTTAACCCAAAACTGGATTAAGATTTGGTCAACTCAGGACATCTCATCTTGCACTGATAACCCAAAATTAGGGTTTGAGTTTGCACAAGGATTTTTGGACTATCATTGTTTCATATGACTTTCAAACATCATTATGGACTCCTAAGATCACTCATGACAAGTTTCAAGCCTTGGACCACATTTTTGATCAGTCAATTGGACAGTTGACCTAAAAATCAACTGTATTGGGGAAAAAGTCAACCATGGCCAATTTAGAGTCAAACTTCATAATTTTTGATCCACATCAACATTTTAAACTTACATGTGTCATTTGGTCAAGTTTGGATCACAATTCCTCAAGAAATTTGATCAAATCATCAAAAGGGCAAAATGGTCAAAATTAGGATTTTGACTGAGGAAGGGCAATTTCTGATTTTTAACCTAGTAAATAACCAATTGAGTTCAAGCATGATTTCAAGGATTCAATGGCATCATCTTGACTTAATTACATGGCTCAAAATATCTCAAATTTATTGAATTGACAGATGAAGTTTGCAGTCAACTGATCAAAAGTCAACTGTACACTGAAAAGTCAAACTTTGACTTTTTGGTCAAAATCAAGTGTCAAAGGTCATAATTCATCAAAATATGTCAAAATGTGAAAATTTTTCATCAAGAAAACCAAATTTGAAAATTAGGGTTTGAATTTGAAAATTTTCCTAACTTAGAAATTTTCTATAGAAAATTTTATTATTTTTTCTCAACTTTAGGCCACTTTTTCACCATGATGCATAATGATTCAAGGAAAGTTCCCAACATGAAAGTTGTATACTTCCATGAAATATACAACTTTGCTTCACACACTTTTTCCTAAAGATGCTTGGATCTCAAGATATAAATTTATGAATACATGGTCATGAACTTGTTAACTTAGTGAAATTTTGCCCTAATTTAGGCAAGTTTTGGACCCAACTTCATGACTACTTTTCACCTAGTTCCAATAGGTATCTCAAAATGCATTTCAAAGATTAATTATATATCACATTGCAAGCTTTCCAAAATATCCAAGAAGTCTTCAAGATCATTTTTGAGTAGGGAGAATCGAAGAGAGGAAGTTGGCATTTTCTCACTTTTTGTTCAAGCCATTTCATGAAGAACCAAGTTGCAATCAGTAGCTATGCTGGATAATCCATGCTTTACAGGTCCCAAACTTGTTCCATACTCCTTAATTAAATTCTTACTCAGTTGACAAAGCTTCTATCCATGCCTTAAGATCATTATCCAACTTGCAATTCCATTTATGGCAAAAAGGTTCCATTGCCATTTTGAAAAAGGTCAACTTTTACAAACTTTACAATCTTGAGCATTGGACCTGTCCCCTTGGCACATACAAGTACGACAGAACTAAGGCAACTTGTAGAGAAGATATACCAAACCTAAACCAGCCAGTACAAGCATGGGAATCTTTGTCTTATCACTTTACTTCAAATACAAGAAAAGTGGAAAAAAGGCTAGGGAAGGCACAACAGCTAGAGGGTTGACATCAAACCATTTTCATACTAATAGACAAACATTATACAACACAATACACGTTTAGCAAAGACCTGAAACACTCCCAACCAGCAAAACACCAAAAATCTGTCCAAAACTGTAGATTTTGCATAAGCACATCCATCTTCCATTTGGCTCGTGCGTTTTGAGTTTGGATCATTCAAACACCTTACATACTTGATACCTAGTCAATCCAGGCCTTCATCCCTGTTCTGTAATCACTCCTCCATAATCTGCCATTGTTGACTTCAGAGCTTGCAGTTTGACTTGGCCAAGGAGTTCCAGCTACTTTCAGAGCAAGGCAAGGGTTGGGATACATCCAGGGAAGTTCAAGGAAGCTCAAGCAAGCATCAGGCCTCCATCAAACTCACCCCGGTTCCATTCACGATTCCAACTGAAGGAGGTAAAATTTCAAACTCTATCTCCTTGTACAGGCAAACTTAGGCCACGATTTGTGAATTAAAAATGTAGTCCTCATCATAACGAAGCTGTACATACTATTATCTTGCATTGATTTTACTTGTGCTGAGAGAATTTAGAACTTGAAACTTCTGGAAATATTAGGTCAAGATTTAGGGCTGTTAAAATTCTATTTGTTCTTTGATTAATATTTCACATAACTTATATGGTTGAAATCGCGTGCTCAAGTACTACAACTTTCATGTTATGAATTTTCATTTTTATGGAAGTATTAGAGAGTTACAGGATGTCTGGCCAAAGCTTGAGGAAGAAGATGAAACAGGACAAGGACTTGGTTCAAAATATGTTATTTTTGTTTCACTTAAGATAATGGAAATATAGCCACCCTAGTGGCAAAGTAGCGCGCTGGTGAGACCCATGTCCTGGATTCGAACCTGGGCGCGCTACTTTTGTTTTTACATTTTTCTTCTTTTCAGTTTTTGACCCTTTTTTGCAGGTTTGGGCTTCATGTGTGGGCTTTAGTTTTTTTTCTAACTCTCGCCACAATTTTGCTACATCACCCCCTGGCCCAATTTTTTTCATATATATATATATATATATATATATATATATATATATATATATATATATATATATATATATATATATATATATATATATATATATATATATATATATATATATATATATATATATATATATATATATATATATATATATATATATATATATATATATATATATATATATATATATATATATATATATATATATATATATATATATATATATATATATATATATATATATATATATATATATATATATATATATATATATATATATATATATATATATATATATATATATATATATATATATATATATTAAATATTTCTTTAATGCATAAAAATCCCAAAAAATGTAAATATCATAATATTACATTTTATTTTAGTTTAGTTTATTTTTCACATAAGAATATATTTTATTTTAATAGATATCATATATTTTCTTAATAAATTTGTAAAATATAGTTAAAACATATTTAGTTTAATTTATTTTTCATTTCATACTTATAAATACTTATTTTTGCATATATAAATTTTTTATATTTTTTATACAATATTATTTATTATTTCAATACAAAAAATACAATAATAATACATATGAACTTCATTTTCTTTTAAAATAGAAATTAGGGTTAAAACCTCCCTTTTAAAAATTATTTTCTTTTCCTTGTAATTTTAGGTTTAGATTAAAATTTTCTTTTACATAAAAACAAGACATAAAAAATCCTTTTTTTTACATGTATATTGCATTGCATTTTAAATATTGTATTATATTCATTCTAATTCGTACAAATTCGATTTGGTTGTAATAATTTATTTAGGTTTATATTTTTTTGCAAATCCCCATTCAAATTTGTATGTCCCCCTCCCCTAAATTGTTGTAATAGCTTAAAAATATTTACATTACGTAATTTATCGCTTTATATGCCATGATTAGTAATTAGGGTTTGTATGACAAGAACAAAACAAAGCAAAATAGAAAATCCTAAATACAAGACAAAATTAAAGCATGAAAATGATAAACTTGCACACAAGCACCCTTAGGGTTTCTCCACCTTGTTGCCAAAAACAAAATGGCCATGTTACGCATGCGAAGTATCTTGGCAAAACAAAACAAATATAAGATCATAGTCCCTCGATGACGCTATTCAAAAGTTGCCTTACAAAAATGATCTTGGTCCCTCCAAATGCTAAGATACTTTGCAAACATTGCTAATCATGGTCATACGATGACCCACGCCCGTCTCGTTTACATCCAAAGATAGGGTTGATTACCAAATCAATGGTAAGACAACAATGTCAAAGGAATAGAAAATACATAAGAAAGACATTTGAGTAGGTAGATAGCTTCTAGTTACCTGCTCTATTTCAAAACAACAATCCTTGCTATTTTTCAAAACAAACACACACATTTCAAAACATCTTACAAACATTGAAAACATTTTCAAAAGACAAACATCTTTGTATACATTCTTACGAACAAGAATCATTACAAAGGTTGCCTAAACAAATGGCCTCTTTTACAAAATACTTTCGAAACCACACAAATCACAATTTCAAACAACAAAAGCAAGTGATCTAAGCAAGTAACTAAGAGCCCATGGAAAATCATGGATGAAAAGGGTGCTAACACCTTCCCTTTTCATAATCTACCCCACGAACTCAAGAAACAATCTCAAAGGTCTTTCCTGTACTTTTTCACCTTTCCTTTTGGATAAAAGAAAAGTTGGTGGCGACTCTTGCTAACCGCAACATTTGCGATAAAATGCAAAACCTTAAGTCAATTCTCCCACCGCATCACAGAACTGGCGACTCTGCTGGGGATATTATAAAAGTGGGGTTACCTTAGGATTTAGATCACATTTATTTGCTTACATTGTTTAACTTGTTTGCTTTACATTATGGTTCTTTGTTTGGGTTTGAATCCTCTACCGGGATTTGGGAAACATTATAGGTAAATAGCAATACATTGTGGAAACTGTGCGG